CTGGGCCTCCCCTGGAGGCGCAGTGGTTGAGCACTAGGCTGAGAAGCTGCCCGCAGCCACTGCAGTGCTGGTTCAATCCCTGGCCGCCGGCGAGGGTCCCACATGGCGCGCAGACCTCTCCTGCCGCGCAGACCTCTCCTGCCGCCCGCTGCTCCCCTCAGCAGTGTACCTTGGTCCTTCTGCCTGCTCTGCTCCCCGCTCTGGCTCTGGTGAATTCTCTCACCCTCCCGCACTTCTGACTGTACCCAGTGCTTGTATAAATAAATAAATCTTAAAAAAAATTATTTCCCCTGTTTTAGTTTCATTTATCCTTTTCTCTAAATTACTAAGAGTTCATATTTAAATTCCTTTAGGTTTTTGCCCCCCACCACCATCATTTATACCCTTCTGATGCTTTCTCCCTCCCTCCTCTTTCTTAGCCCCAGAAATCTCACTTTGTTGATTACTGTCTGCTAGTTTTTATAAATATTTTGCTTTGTTGAGTCATCCACTATGTAAACATCCAATATTTGTCTTTGTTACACTCACTTGCTTTACTACATATAGTTCTCTGGAAACCCTTCCATTTTGCTGTAAGTGGCAATATCTTGTCTTTCTAAAGTTGATTTTGAAAGAAAAACTTTTTTAAAAAAAAAGATGTATTTATTTTTGTGTAGAAGAACTGGGGTGTAGACCCTAAGTGCGGGGGGGGGGGGGTGAGAGGATTCACCAGAGACAGAGCGGGGAACAGAACAGGCAGATCTACCAAAATACACTGCTGAGGGGAGCAGCGGGCGAGACAGGAGAGGTCTGCCGCGCCATGTGTGTATCTCCCTGGCCGGGGATGGAACTCAGGCCATTGCAGTGATAGCGCTGAGACTTCAGGGAGGCCCCCAGAAAAGCATATTAATGTACAATACTGAGAGAGAAGTGTAACCTGTTGTTCCCAAGAGTAAGCTGGGCCTCCTCCAAAGGTAACCCCAAATTCTTCCCTCCAAACCCAAGGGATGGTGGCTTCTTTCTGCAGTTATTGCCTCTTGTAGTTTAGTGGTTCCTTTTGTTTGTTTTCAGACCTCTGATGCATGTTTAGCCCATTCCTTATATTAAATTTTCTCTCTTGAAATAACTAAGTGGTTTCTGGTTTGTTTGTGGTTTTGACTGGAGTCCGACTGGTCTCTCAAAGACAGGGTTCTGGGATTAATTTGGTTCTGTTTTTGGTCTTGAATACACTAAATGTCTTTTTAAAAAAAATATTTTATTTATTTATGCATAGAAAAACTGGGGTGCAGGCCAGAGATGCAAGGGGTGAGAAGATTCACCAGCGACAGAGTGGGGAGCAGAACAGGAAGATCTATTGAAATCCACTGCTGAGGGGAGCAGCGGGCCAGACAGGAGAGGTCTGCTGCGCCATGTGGGTTACCTCCTGGATGAGGATCGAACTTAGGCCACAGTGGTCATAGCATGATAGTATAAGACTTAACCCCCAAGCCACCAGGGAGGCTCCCATGCTGAACGTCTTGCCAATGGGATGGTGGAAATCTATGGCATAGTTGATTTTGATGAAATGCCTACTGCAGCACTACCTTAGGAACCATGGAGCTGCTACGCTTGAAACAAGCAAGAGGCATCTCCTGGCAAGATGGGCTACAACCTTATGCAGTGTAATCTCAGACATCCTCAAGCTTTTGCCATATTCTACAAGTTAGAAGCAAGTCAAGTCAAGGGGGGCGGGTGGTGACAACAGGCTATGGCCATCAGGAGGTGGGAAGTAGGGGGCTACCCCCAGGTCTACACCACAGGACTGCCAATGAAAACAGCCCCTTGGAATATCCTAGAGCTTGGCTCTCCATGTCTATGTGGAGACAGCTGGCCTGGGAGATGGCCCCTTAGTAACTTCTCCAACTCTCCTTTCCTCCTGTGGTTCAAAAGTTCCTTCCCCTTACCAAGAGCACAGCGCACTATAGCAGTGTGTGACTGAACTCCAGCGGCCATGGTGGGGATCCTTTCCACAGCCTGTTAGGCCATGTCTAAGCATGGCGATCAGACTTTACAATAATTTTTTAAACAGCTTTATCAAGGGCCTCCCTGGTGGCACAAGGGGTTAAGACTCAGCACTATGAAGCTATCAACAGCCACTGCAGCATGAGTTCAATCCCCAGCCAGGGAGCAACCCACATGGTGCAGCAGACCTCTCCTGTCTTACCCACTGCTCCCCTCAGCAGTGTATTTCAGTAGATCTGCCTGTTCTGCTCCCCACTCTGTCTCTGGTGAATCCTCTCACCCCAGCCCCCGCACCTCTGGTCTTTACTCTAGTTCTTCTATGCATAGATAAATAGATCTTTAAAAAATAAAACAGCTCTATTGAGACCTCGTTTAAATACTATATAACTGCCCCATGAAAAGGGTAGAACGCAATAGCTTCCAGTCTATTCACAGTATTGTACAACCATCACTCCTATCACTCTGGGAACATGTTCATTGACTCAAAAGGGCACTCCACACAACTTATCCAGCTCTCCCAACCTTCTCACCTCCCCCAACCCTAGAGAACCACTACTCTCTATCTCTACAGATTCGCTGATTTGGGGTCGTTCATATAAATGGGCTCCTACATGATCCGACGTCTTTCACTGAGCACATGTTCAAGGCTCACCATATGGTGGCACGTGTCAAAACTTCGTTTCTTATGTCATATGATGTGTCACATTTTATTATCCACCCATCCACTGATGGACTTGGGTTAGTCTGACTTTTGGCACATTAGGAACAATATTGCTATGAACATTTGTGTACACGTTTTTGTATGGACATATGTTTTCTTTTCTCTTGGGTGGATACCTGAGTGGGATTGTTGGGTCATAGGGTAACTCTGTGTAAGCCTTGAAGATACCACCATCCAAAGTGGCTGCAGGGTTATACATCCCCACCAGCAGAGTATGAACGCTCCAATTTCTCTGCCTCCTCACCAAGCCATGTTTTTGTTCATCCTGTTTGTTACAGCCTTCCTAATGAGTGCGAAGTGCTATTGCATGTGGTTTTGATTTGCATTTCCCTGACAGCTGATGACATTGAGCAATTTGTCATGTGCTTATGGGCCATTTGTGTATCTTTGAAGAAATGTCTATTCAGATCCTTTTCTCATTTAAAATTGGTTTTACAGTAACTTTTTAATATATTACAAAATAATGTATGTTCATTGAAGAAATCTTAGAAGCTATGCATAAGCCTAGTAAAAATAGTAGATGTCATTTAGCAAGCACATATTGCAAGCACTGTGCTTGGCCTAAGCCACACAGGCATAAAAAATAGTAACTGTCTGTTGAGCTCCTGTTAGGTGCCAGGCCCTATATACCATCTCATTTAAACCTCCCAGCAGCCTTTCTGAAGAGAGTACTATTTTTAGCACACTCACTTTTCAACACAGAAGCTGAGGCCCCAAGATGTTAAGTAACTTGCTGAGGTGCACAGAGCTCGCTGGTGGCAGAACCAGAGGTGGACAGTTTTTTTTTTTTTGTTTTTTTTTTTAATTTTTTTTTTTTTTTTATAGAGGCATGTTTATTTATTTATTTGTTTTGCTTGTTTGTTTGTTTGTTTATACATGCACTGGGTACAGTCAGAAGCGCGGGAGGGTGAGAGAATTCACCAGAGCGGGAAGCAGAGCAGGCAGAAGGACCGAAGTACACTGCTGAGGGGAGCAGCGGGCGGCAGGAGAGGTCTGCGCGCCATGTGGGACCCTCCTCCAGTGGCCGGGGAGCAGCCAGGGATCGAACCGGCGCCACAGAGGCTGCGTGCAGCTTTGCAACCCAGCGCTCAACCACTGCGCCACCGGGGAGGCCCGGTGGACAGTTTTTTGCACTCACTTTCCACGTTTCTGAATCTAGAGGCTCCCCCGAGAACCACTGCATGACACAGTCTCTTCTCTTTAAGCAAAACGGTGAGGCATCTTTGATGATTCTTCTTTTCTTAATACAAGATGGCAGAAATTTTCCTCAGAGGTGCTTGAAGACTTACTGATGGTTTTCATTACCACTGACTCTGTATCTTTTTTAATTTGTTTCTCTTTCTTCCATAAGTTTTGGGAAGCCAGCACAGTAACCCAAGCATCCCATGCTCTGATGTTACCTGTCCATGAATCTGGCAGTTGTCAAATGAGGTTCCACCTGCCTGTGCGGCCAGGAACACTCGCAGTAAGGGGGGACACAGGGCTTCCCTTTTGTGGGGCAGTCTTTTCTAATCCGGACTTCAGGGCTTCACTGTCTTTGCAGCTTGAAGCCAATGAGTTAACCTTTCTGCTCACCCGGTCCTGCCCGGGAGCATGGACCCGGGAGGACCTGGGAGCAGGGGGGCGGGGGCGGGGCCTCTCCCCAGCTTTGCATTTGCGTGGTCCTGGGCAAGTGCTGTCACCTCAGGGGCCTCCCTTTGCCCACCTGTGAAATGAAAGGGCGGGACGGGAGCCTCCTCCGGGGTGTCCCGTCGCCCCGACATCCCGGCTCCGCGCCCACCCGGGCGAGCTGTGAAGAATGGGCACGAGGCGATGGACCCCACAGGCCATTTTTGATGGAAAAAGACAAGTCCTGGGTAGGGCTTTGAAGGGGACCTTGTCAGCGGCCTGGGGGGGGGGAGCCGCCGCCCGCTGCTTCCCGCGGGCTGGGCGCGGGGCGCGGGGCGCGGGGTGCGGGGTGCGGGGGGCGGGGGGCGGCCGCGCTCCCCTGCGGGCCGGGGCTGCGGGCGGCGCGGGCCGGGGCGGGAGGCCGGGGCCGCGGCGGCTGCGCACTGGCGCGCCCGGCCGCCCGATTTGCGTGTCTCCGCCCCCGCGGCGAGCTGGTTGGGGGGCCGGGCCGGGCGCCGCGCGCTGATTGGCCGGGCGGCCCGCCGCTCAGGCCCGGGAGCGGACGGTTTCTCCTGCGGCTGGGCACCGGCTCCGCTCCCGGTCGGCCCGCGCTCCCGCTGCGCCCGGCCCGGCCCCGGCCCGGCCCGGCCCGGCCCGGCCTCCGACGAAGGCGCCGCTGCCGCCTGGGCCGCCCGCAGGGCCATGAGGAGGCGGCGGCAGCCACTGCGGCCCGCGTCAAGGTGACCGGCCGGGACTGCGGCGGCGAGAGCGGGGTGAGCGGCGCGCGGGCGGGCCGGGCCGGCCCGGGGGCGCTGCAGGTGCGGGGGCGGGGCCGGGCCGGGCCGGGGCCGGGCGCGGGGCGGCGCGGGCGGGCGGGCCCGGCGGGCGGGGCGGGCCTGCGGGGCCGGGCGCGGGCGAGGCCGCAGGTGCGGGGCGGGGCCGGCGGGCCGCGGGTCGCCTGTGGGAGGGGGCGGCCAGGTGAGCCCCGGCGGCCGCGGAGCTCGGGCCGAAGAACTCGCAGGTGCAGGGGGCGGGGCGGCGCGACCTGCGGGGCGGGGCCCGGGGGCCGGGGGTCGGGGGGCGGGGGCCGGGGGCCGGGGGCCGGGGGCGGGCGCACGGGGCCGCCGCGCGGGGGGCGCGGGGCGGGAGCGGGTCCTGCGCGCCGAGGGGCCCGGAGGCCTCGCGGGCGGCCGCTGGGCCGGAAGGGCCGGCCGGGCCTGCCCTGCCTCGCCTGGGTCGGGCTTGGGGTCCGCTGCGCCGGCGGCCGGGCGGGGCGACCCCTGCGCGTGCCGAGCCCCGCGGCTGCTCGCCCTGGTCACCTCCGGGGCCCTCCCCAGGCTGCTGCGGGGGGCACGCCTGGGGGCCGGGGCCGTCGCGCGGGCCAGCTCTTAGGAGCGCTGCTCTGGAAGTGGAGTTAGAGCGGGAAGGGCCCTGGCTTGCTGGCTCCTGCTGCCAGATCCTGCGCACACCTTGGCAGTGGTCATTCCAGAGGCGGAACGGGCAGCCTGGTGAGGGGGAGGAACAGGAATGAGGGGTCCGAGGCTCCTGCCTTTGTGTTACCTGGGGAGGCTTCCACCTCTCTGAGCCTTGTTTCCTCCTTTGCAAAGTGAAGTGGGGGTCCCTCCCTTGTGGGCCTCGCGGGGGTCTTGACAGGATGGAAGCTGCTTAGGGAGCAAGGCGTGAGGTAGAGTGACGTGTCTATGGGCAGGTGGGTTTCAGGAACCGCGGCCTAAGAGGAGGGGATTTCCAGGCAGTAGACCATTCTTGAGTTTGGGATGAACTGTGTGGTGGGGAGCCCCCCCCCCCATGGTCAATTCCTGTCAGAAATTAAGACTGCTTCTCCCTGAGAGGCCTCCCAGGGAGCTGTGGGAGGGAGCAAAGGCAGAGGAAAAGCAGAGGAACATTTATTGTTTGCTGATCTTTAGACCCCGACCCCGGTGAGGACTCTGAGTTGGAGCGATGTTCAGGCTGGAGCCTCAAGAATTCTCCCTCCCCATCCAAGTGTGTGCTGCAGGGAAGCAAGTGAGAGGAGCGGGCTCCTTCCCATGTAGACGCATCCCAAACCCGTGTGTCCCCTTTGTGTCCAGTGCCTGCTCACTGGTGGTTTGAGTCACTTGCACTGTGATTCCTCCTACTTGTGTGGCATGGGCAGAAGAGAAGGCAGGAGGAGGCTGCTGTGCTGGCATTTACTTTAGAAGTTATGGGATGTTGGGCGACCAGTCACCATGGTGCTAGCCTCTCTCACCACTTGGTTGGTATAGGGGTGACCCAGTGGCATCTCAGGGATAGGTCCTTCCTGGGACCTGTGCGTGTGTGGAGATACCGAGAGGGTCCAGAGCAGCATGTGTGGGTGGTCCCACTGGTTCTTGGCTGGTTCTTGGCAGAGACTATATAAATGGCTCTCAGAGATTGCTGCCTTCTGGATAAACCATCATGCTCTGCACTAAAAGAAAAGCCCAGATTCGATGGCAGACAAGAACTTGAACATGTGTTGGATAATGAGGGGGTCTGCTTCTTGATTTCTTGGTTTTGGAGTGACAGCATTGAGGGTTGGGAGATAAATTGATTAATGGAAAATACTTATCGAGGCTCCTTGTGATATGACCCTGTCTGTCTTTTAAATTGATTTTCCTTTTCGGTTTGGAGGATGGGAGCTCTGGCTTGGAAGTCAGACAGGGCTGCGTTTGCAGTCTCATGCCACCTCATTGTATGAGCCAGTGTTTTAGCTTCTCCGAACTTTGGTTCGCTCATTTGTAAGACAAAGATAGCGCTGCCTCTCTCGAGAGGTTGCTATGAAGAATAAATGAAACACAATGTAAAGACATAGCAATGCGCTAGGTGCTCAGTGCCTAGCCGTCTTTCAGCACAGCAGAGCAGCACGGGACCTGCTTGGCGAGCAGGGCATGGTGGGCACTTGAGCACGTGTTCTTAGCAGAGTGAGGATGGTGTTAGACTGTGAACTTTGAGAGTGGTCCTAACTGGCGTTCTGATCGACCTTCCATCAGGTTTTCTTGAAAGATGGGAGGGAGTTAACTAATAACTTGCTTAGTTCTTCTCTTAAAGCTGTCTGTCTAGCACCCTGCCTGGCACGGAGTAGGTACTCACTCAAGGGGCAGGTGAGGTCTTTAAGAAGGTGTGGCTCACTGTCTCTCTTGCCCATAGAAGTTATGTCTGTCCCTTCAACATACATTTTATTTCAGAAAAGATATTATAACAATAGCAATAAAATTGACAGGAAAGGCAAAAGTTTTTCACAGTTCTTTGTCACTGGAAATTAAGTTCACGCAGTGTTTGTTCATAAACATACGCAAATTTTCATGATTATAATCATATGTATGTGAGAACTTGGGAAAGTTTCTTTAAATGGTGTTTTTAATCATTTGTTTAAGTTAAAAAAAAATCACACATGAGTATCTTTACAAGGCAAGTATTTCAAAGGGGAACAAATGGCAGAGTAAGTGTCTTTTTTGCCTCAAATTGCCAGTTCCCAGTCTATCTCCCTAGGGCAATCCCTGTCACTGTTTTTTGTTTATTATATATTCTTTCTTTTACATTAAGAGTAACATTTTAGACACACTCTTCCTCCTTTGTTTATTCACTTGATCTGTTTTAGAAATTGTTCCAACATGGGGAAATGTTCCAAATGGTACATACAGTTCCTCCTAAATAAATGGTTTTGATTGCTGTGAGAAGCACAATTTTATATATCCCCTTGCACTCTTCGCCCGGTGATTTTCACTCAGTAATGGCTAGCAGATTGTTTAGAAGAATAACAAGAGACATCCCTCACTCTCCTCTAGGAAAGAAGTGACTTTGGTCCCAGCGAGCAGTAGACTGAAGGGCAGTCCGCGGACCTGGATGCAGGGCGGGTGGCAGGGAGAGACAGGAGAGGGGTTTGCTCACTTGTGATTGAAAACTAATTTACCTGTCAGCCCTTGATTCAGAGTCCAACTCTGTCACTAACTGGCCTATGATTTGGAAGAGTTCACCTAATTTTTCTGCGTTTCAGTTCCCTTATCTGTAAAATGGGTGATAATAGGATCTATCTTTTGGGGTACTTTGTGCAGAGGAAGTGAGACCATGCGTGTGAAGTCCTTGCGGCAATAGCAGGCCGTGGTAGGTTCTCAAGAAGCAGGATTAACAATTGAGAGTGGTCTTTGTTTGGTCAGCAAGTATTCCCTGGGCAGTGAGAGTTGGCGCCGGGAGAGTGCCCATCACGCTTGCGCTTGAGGAAGATGCCCACTGCTCTGCAGGGAGCTGGCACACAAGGCGGGGCTCACAGAGCAGTGTGGTGGGCTGGGTGTGAGTGGTGTGGGGTCTGGAGGCAGGAAACATGGAATTCCTCCCTCCCTGATTTGGGAATGGCTTCCCAGCTCAAATTTCCCTTCCTCTGCGAAACCTTCATTTCTGGGCATAAGTGGTGATGCCCAGTTGTGCCCCCTTGTGTGCCCAGTTTGCCCGGAGCACACCTTATTTGATGCCTTTTGTGATGTTGAGTCTCCAGGATAGGTTCTTGGGTTTTTGTTTTTTTCATGTTTTTTAAAAATTTCTGAAAATTGAGGTATGATTGACCTATGACATTATTTTAGTTTCAGGGGTACCACAGAACAATTCCGTGTTTGTGTACATGGCGCACAATAAGTTGGGTTACCTGCCGTCACCATGGTAGTTACGTGTTTTTTTCTTGTGATGAGAACTTTTCAGATGCTCTCGCTCCGTAAGTTCCTCGCACACGTGACCGTGTCATTCACTGTAGTGCCGTTCTGGGCACCTCCTCCTCCTGACTTACTAGTTTCACAACTGGAAGTTTGTCGCTTTTGACCCCAGGGTGGGGTTTAGTGGACGGCTGCTCTGACAAGGCTACCAGGTGCTGCCCAAGTGTCTGGTGAAACCCACACCCTCCCCTCCCTGCCCACAGACCTGCGTGCTGGCTCCGAGTCAGGAGAGTGCTGTGTTTCACCCTAGCTGTGGGCTTCGGCGGGTGCTCCTTATTCTACAAAGAGGTGGGAGAGGAAAGAAATACTTGCTCCAGATGTTTAGGAGAAGGTGAGGAAGCACAAAAACGGATACATTTAAAAACTAACGCTCTCTGAAGCCCACCTCTCCTCTTTCCTCAGGACTGGATGAGGTGGGCTTGTGGAGGAGCAGACCTGAGGCAGCTGAGGGTGGCAGAGAGTTGGTTGGTTGGGCTGACTTCTGGGAGCGGCATTCTTAGGTCACTTTCTTAAAAAGAGAGGAGGCCTCGCTTCTGGCTTGTGGGCATTGGTCACCAGCCCTGCTGGACTCCTGCCTTGGGCCAGACCCTTTGCAGGATGTTGGGCGGATAATGGAGGTGAAGGCGCTCCATCCTGCCCTTTGGGAACACATGTTGGTGGAGGGTACTCACAAGCGGAAGCCGACCTGGAGGCTGAGTCAGAGAACTTCAGGTGAACTGGCCAGATTTGGCATCTGGAGCCAGGCGGACCTGGTTTAAAAATTCCGGCCACTTCCACAGACCGCCTCTGTGACCTCGGGCAGGTGTCTGCCCTCCTGGGTCTCGGCTTGCTGATCTGTAAAAAAGGGGATGGTAGTGTTATCTGACGCTGTTGTTGAAGATGCAGTGAAATAATACAGACATATTTAGCTCAGGGCCTTGACGGAAAGCTAATGTTTCAAGAGTACTCACGACCTTTTATTGATCCTTGGTGAGGTGGGAGCAGCACGAAGCACCTCTTTGGCTGTTTTCTGGCTGCCAGTGCAGTGGCAATGGTGCTAGTGGGTGGCGAAGGTGAAA